AGTGCCAGCCACCCTCTCAGTGATGTTCCCTAAAAAGTATAGACACTGATAACAGTACAGTTACTGAATTCGCATTATGCGCAACCTAAAAAAGTTTTAGTCCTGCCACTTGAAGTGAGAATCTTCTAGATGCATTTGTGGCTAACCATAAATCAGGCTTGCTGTGTTGTCCAAACGCAATCTCTGTATCAAGTTGAAACCCAGGCACATTTGACAGCTGGTCTTGGACATTTGCCCCTTGCTAAATTAGTAGCTCATGAAGAGTTCACACCAACATCCTGGTACAGTTTTATATGCATTGGAAAAAATTGTGTGTCAATATATGTAACTTAAGTCAGTTAACAAAAACAATTCATTTCTGTTGAGCAATCCTAATTCCAAACTGCAAATTAATTTCATTGTTAAACCCTGTCAGTTCCAGAAATGTTTGAACATAGTTTGTTCCCTGCCCCCCAGCAATTGGAAAAGTTCCATGTCTCCTGTTTCCAGTTGCTGAAAAGAATGCTTTGCTCATTGCTTCCCTTCCCACACCAACTGTCTTGCCTTTCCTGTTGGCTCCTGTTCTTTTCAGTAGTGTGCATAGCATGCTGTGTTGCAGGGGGAGTTTTTGATTTGGACTTGGTGGTTGGGTTGGCTTTCTGCAAGAAGCAGCATGATTGTGGGGACAGTACTTCAGTCAAGTGATGAGCAACTATGCTTTTTTTCTGAGGAGCTGTCTGTTTCTACTTTTCTTGATTTGAAAGGTAAGCTGTGGGTACAGGGAGCCTCAAGGTCTAGGAGTTTATCATCTTTGGTTCTTGACAGGGTCGTACTACCCCAGACAGACCCGGTGCGTAATCTGGGGGTCCTCCTGGACTCACAGTTCCTGTCCGAAGAGCAGGTGGCAGTTGTGGCTATGAGGGCCTTTGCACAACTTTGTGTTCTGCGGCAGTTATGCCCCTTCCTCGATCAGGAGGCCCTCCGCACGGTCACTCATGCCCTGGTCACCTCCCTGCTGGATTACTGCAATGTGCTCTACATGGGGCTACCCTTGAAGAGTATCCGGAAGCTACAGTTGGTGCAGAATGCTGCGGCGCGGACAGTTCTGAATGCCCCTGGGGGGCACATATAACACCGCTGTTATGCGAGCTACATTGGCTGATGGTTCGCTTCCAGGTCCAATTCAAGGTGTTGGTTATCACCTTTAAAGTCCTTTACGGT